CTGCTTGACCTGTCAAATGATTTCACATGACCGGAATAGAAACTTCAGTCAATACTTTTAAGTGGTCTGTAATGGTCTTGAACTCTTTTACCTGTAGAAGACCACGGCTCCATCGTCACAGATGTACAGAGGCCACACGTTCAGAGTTGACACCTTAGGGTTCCAGTCCAAATCCTGATGGATCTCCAACACAGAAATATCACAAGGAAATGTTCCTCTACCCTGCAGAGAGCAGACAGACAGACAGGTTGTCAGTCTAAGATGGGATAATTCAGAAGATGGGGGACTAAAGCAACACAAGAAAAAAAAAAAACAGTGTCCTATGTGAGGTGCTGCGTCGGACATACCTTTGCAAACTCCAGATTTTCAAGAGGAATATCGCTGATTTCACTAAGCTGGAAACGGTATAAAGAATTTAGTCACAAAAGGCTGATTAATCACCATGAATTGTACTTAGACCATTTGTTGACAAAGCAAACATGTTATAATTTAGCTTTTTTTCCCACGTTAAATTTAACTTCCTTGAATTAATGAATAAAATGTAAAGTTGTTTAAAGTGACAATGACATGTGCATGATTATCTCAGCGCCAAAGTGATCTGCGGACAGCAGTGAAAATAATCAAAGGCAGGAAGGAGACACTGCATCACTCCATTAACAATTTTATTATAGAATATACTGTTATGGTATTATTTTGTGGGTGTTTATTTTCTTGCATTGTAGTAATCAGCGTTGGTTAATCAGGATGGTAACATTGTAATTTTTTTATGCATGAATAAAAACAGACATACCTTCTCCTTGAGTTCTTCCACACTGCTGCTCTCCAGAATCACTTCCTGGAAGGGCCCCAGCTTCATTGTAGCGGGGCTCCATCTCCGGGTCAGAACAGCCAGCTGCGACATGGACTTCATCTTCTCCGGTTCTGAGACACAGACCATGACAGACCAAAGATCAAGCTGAACTCTTAACTGTACTTCATTTCAACTGGAAACAAGGAGAAGTTTTCCTGCACGCTGGTAAGTAGGCTTGATCTGCTGGCATTTGTAGCTTCAAGTCAGGTTTACGAAAAGAATGCCATTATAAATCAAGCGATAATGGGATATTACATTGAGTCTTTACAATAATTTTAACATTGGTTTGTTTTTTTTGTTTTTTAAACTTTATGCTGTAATTTTACACCTTTAGTATTATTAGTCCCAAAGTACAAAAAATAACTTTTATAATTATATAATAACCATTGCAACGTGTTTTAAAGAAACTGCAGAATGAGTGTTACCACTGAGAACTTCCAAGAAAACTTCCCAGTTGGAGGAGATGCTGATGTCTTCTTCATAGACATGGTAATCCAGAAACACCGTGCCCGGGTTCTTCCACGTCTTTTTCCTGAGACGAACCCTGAAAACACACGCACACACAGAGTTTGGTAAACGCCTACACTTTTTTTTTTAAATAAATGTGTAGTTAAGTCTTACCTGTCAATGCTGAGGTCAAGCTTGCACTGCTCTTTCAACTGAGGGAGCAGCTCCTCTTTAGACTGTCTGACAGTCATGCCCTTGGCAAACACTGTGTCCACAAGGAACTTGCAGGGCTGGAAGACAAGGACACATGAATAAATGAATACATTACAGATTACAAAGTTCAGTTACAATCTTCTTATGCATAGTAACCAAAACCGTCTTTTAGTTCTTACCTCTGATTCATTCACTAGTAGCTGATAAACTTTCACTCTGTATTCACCCTTTTTCAGCGCTCTTCCTAGTCGAATCGTTATCTACGGGAAGTAATAAAATGTCCAAGTCAAGCCTGAGTTTAAGTATTGGCTCACTCTAATGAACAGAAAATACTAAAATCTAACAAATCAATTGTAAAATTGTTCCTGACCTTGTTATCATCAGAGAACGATGAGAGTGTTTCACTGAGCCGTACACTCTCAAACTCCTGGTTGTTGGCATACACCCGAAACACCTTGAACTGGGTGGAGGTGACTCCCACATAGGGCTCCAGGTTCTGTTTAAACGCTGCTAATGTTATTCTCTTGTCCACATGAACCACTAAACCTGAAGCAGATCACAAGAAACAACAGTTAATCATTGAGATTTTTATGTCAGACTTTCTGCCCTCTACACTGAACAATATAGTCAATGCAAGTTCAAGTTGTGCAAGAAAACAGCCACGGCGCTTTCCTCCAATAAACTTCAAAAATATAATTTCTTTAAACTGGATCATAAATAGAAGGTTCGTACATTTTTGTGCATCGCACGAGGAGTCATCCTGAGAACAAGGCTCGGCTCTGAAGTACAGGAACTGAGCCTCTGCTTTGTTCTTCCCGTTGTCATCGTATTCGCTGTCTGTTCCAGAGTCTTCTTCAGCAGTGTCCCACGTCTCTTTTTACCCTCATGGGCTTTGGAGCGACGACTACTTGTGATGCTGTGCGAGTCCAAGCCGTTGGCCAGCTGTATGGGCCCGCTGTCTGCGTTGCACAGTGTGTCACTACTGTGGCTGGAGCTCAGGATGTCGCTGTCTACTGAACTGGTGCTGCGGTCATTGTTCACCTCAGAGTCCGAGCGCTCCTCACAGACAAAGTGGTTCTCAGGGTCAGAGGAGGCACCACTGCCGGCCGCGGACCTGTTCCGGTTCTCTAACTCTCTATTGTCTGCAGCCACACAGAGTGAAGAGTTTGAGTCAGCCTCTTGAGTCGGGGATTCGATATGTTCAAAGTCGCTGGTGTCGGAGCTTTTCTGGCTGTCGCTGGTGCCGGAGTCCTGCTGGTGCTGCTGCAGAGACAGATTCTTTAACTTTTCGGTGCTCTCCTCAAGGATAGCTTCTACAGATTTCCGGTTACCCTTTGACCCCTCAAAGGGCACGTCGGAGTCACTGTTTACTTTTTGGCAAACAGTTCTGTTGGCCAAAGTACCGGGAGACTGCTCAGGCAGTAAGACCATGAGGCGGATCGTATTCCCGTGACGATCCAACAGTTTCCACAATAGTGAGTCAGTGAAAGCAACCTGATGATCCGTCGACTCAGAGCTCTCTACAAAAACCTGTTGAACAACAAAACAGGCAAAATTCAAACTTACTAGGGTTTAAAAGAAGATTGTTGGAATTTTTTTAAAAACATACAATGGAAACACATGAAAGCACAGAAATGGGGATGAAAAGAAAATATAGGAACCTTGTTGCTCCTGAAGAACCCCTCAGCTTTCAGCGTCTTGTTTGAAACGTACAGGAGCCGGAGGTCATTATAGCAGCGCTCCAGGACCACACGCATGGTTTCTGCAGATAGCCCTGTAGCCTGGGAACAAATCCATACATAAGGCTTAGGTCTCCAAGACTGAGCTCACACTCTCACAGGTACTGTGCACAATTTTGTTTATTGTTTTTTCTGTGTTGCTGATGCTTAAAGAGGTCATATCATGCTTCTCAGCTTTTCCCCCTTTCCTTTATTGTGTTATATATCTAAAGTGAATTACCATGTCCCACAGAAAACACTGCTCTGACCTGTCTGAAAACAGTTCGATTGTGGTCCAGACTTTACTTCCGTAACCTAGTTGCATCACTTTGTAACACCTAGGGATGGGGATCGAGACCCGGTTCCAAAAAGGTCCCAGTTCCAAAATTTTGTCAAATCTGATTTAATTTTAAACGCAATGGATAAGAAAATCGTCAGGCTGCAGTCTCTGTCGGCTCCCACACACAGCGGCAGCAGAGCGCCGTCGCGGTGGAATATGGTGAGGGTTAAGTTAGCTCCAAATTACTGTAACGTTAGTTGCCGACAGCTACGTTCGTTACTGTAAGTACGTGCAATAAAAGACAATACTTTATCAATACACCTGTCTGTAAGGTAACGTTAAACATGTAGAAATGGTTAATTTGATCATCTCTGTCCTCAGTATCTCATCCTGTATATTTTATACAAGCACAGCTAATACTAGCTTGGCACTAGCCAAATGTTAAAAACAAGCTAAATAGACAGCTGTCTGTCTGGAGCAAAGACTGGTCTGTAGTCTTAAAAACTCAGCTGCTGGCTGAGACACCAGCCACTCCTCCTTCTATCTGGTAACGTTACCTGCAGCCAGCGAGAGAGGTGGCGGGACTGATACAGACTGATGTTATTCTTTCTAAACGTCACTCACTAATTGTGATGTCAGATAAAGTTATTGAGTTACTTTGCTGTTGTAAACATTAATGTTGCTGCTCTAGAAAAAACATTTAGCTGTATTTAAAATATTAAATTAAAAACAACCAGGCAGCTAACATGTACACTTCAATATATGTTTATTTATCACAAGTGATATATAACATTATCATTGAATATTTTCCTCACACAGTGCAGGCCTACCTCATGCCCGTTGGGTCTGATCTTACCAAATAACAATCACTAAATAATAGTAAAGTATCGATAAAGAATCGGATCGTTAAGCAGTCTTAATAAGGATATCAATATCAATAAAAATTAACGATCCCAATCCCTAGTAAGTCATAATGCTCCCCTAGCAGCTAGTGTGGCTTGCCCTCAAAGACACTGGTGGAGAAACACACTGAGCTGCACACAGTGACAAGACGTCTGCCCTCTGCCTCCCCTCACTCCACACTCTCCCTTTCAAACACTAGCTACCCTCCAGGCAGTTGATGGGCATAAAGTTGTTACTATGAGACAGTGCACAGTTAAAACGTTACGTATGAAAGATACTTTTGTAACCAATTAATAACGTACCACTCTTAAACTCTTGCTACAGTCTAGGTTGCAAAGCTGGTTTGGGAACATGTACAGCTGAACTTGTCAGGACCTGCCCTACTCTGCTTCTGATTGGCTAGTAATCCTTAACCAAGTGCTGCACATGTGCAACTCCCCAAAAAAGATCTTGTAGAAGTGAGATGCATCCCTCCATAGCTAAAATGGAGCGTTCAACACACCGGGTTAAAAGAGGTGCCGCAGCAATGTGCAGTATGACAAAAATATGGTGTTTTTGGAAAATTAAACTATTTGAACCTGTTCTGGTACAACCCCTAAATAAAATAGTGAACCTAAAAATTAGCATAACATGACCACTTTAACATAAAAATAAAAAGTAGAGGAAGAGACAATACAAGGAACAAAGTGAGGAGAGTAGGAAACCTGTGCAATGAGCTGTTTGAATTCAGTGATCGTCTGGTTCAAGTACGCTCGAATGCTGATTGGAGACGCGATGATCTCACTCTTCAGATCCACAACATGAACCTTCACCATCACCTCTGTAGAACATCAGATACACACCCACACAGACACAAAGCAATTACTTTGCTTGGTATCCTGACAATCTATACATCTACATCCATCATTGGTGTACTTTCCATTTGCTGTGAACCATAAGAGGGTTATCCCACTTTAAGACATTCCTAACTGAACAGTTTGAACAGCAGCAGGCTACTAACTGACCTCCAGGTTTATAAGGTTGGAACACTTGCTCTGGTCTGCGGGTCTCGAGCAGCAAGTCGAACATATAAGAGGACTTGACTCCTCCCAACAGCAGGCCCATCGGTGTGTCCTCCTCACCTTCGTAGGAGCGCTCCAGGTACTCGTGGAACTCATCGTACTTTACCAAGCGGCAGCAGTCCAGAGAGACCACTCCCTCCAGCTCCATCAGCTAAAGTGGAGAACACATAAAAAGGACCACAAACGTAAATGCAAGCTCAATGTTGATAAATGTTCACAAACGCAACATTACATTATTGTGCAGTACAGTGGTTGGACTCGATAACCTTCATTGAGGTCTCCTTCGTAGTGCATTTAAAGATACTCCAACATTCGAGACTCAAAGGTTAGCTGCTGAAACTTATTGCGCTGAATAGCTGTGGTGTTGGAAAATCAGATGGTGAAGCCACAATAAACCAACAGACCTTGTAGGCCATCTCTGTTGCTTCTCTGAGAGTTTTGTCCTTGTGTACTTCCAGCTTGCTCTCCATCATCATCTTTACAGGGTGCATGCAGAAAAGCTTTATCTGAAGGTGAAAAGCAAGAGAGCAATGATAGTAAAACTCGTTTTAAAAGAGAGGCAAAGCATCATCTGATCCTCATTCAGAATACATCTTGAACTGATCCAAAGGACCAAGGTACTTTGCAAGTGTTGCGCTCAATCTCTCTTTGTCGCTTCTCCTGCTCTTCAGATTCCTTCTCCTTCTGAACCAAAGTCTTTATGTGCTCCGGGAAGTCTTCTGCAGCTAAGTACTCTGTAGACAGGACAAACAGGCACACATTAAAACTGCATGCTAATTCTAGGACCAGCAGTCAAGGCAACCCTAGTAAGATTATGATTAAAATATAACAACTGTTGGAGCGTCTCTATAATTTTGCCATTACCCATAGCAGATTTTACTGAATTGATTTCTTACTTGCATTCCTTGAGGGATCTTTCAATCTATAAATCAGCATATATGCATTTGTAGAGCTGTAGGTAAACAAAAAAGATGTCTTGTTAATATACAGAGAAGACACTGTTCTGTCAGCCCTAAAAGAAGCTGCCATTTCCTTCAAAGGGAACATGAAAGAACAATGGAAAAATAATAAACAAGAACCTTCTTGACTTTGCTTTTAAACACAGATAAACAAACAGGTGCAGTTCATCATTATTGCATTCCCTAAGCCAATGCACTGTAAGCATGTGATGTGTGTTGACATACTGAGTGTTGAGACAGACATGAGAAACAACTGACCTCGCAAAGGCACTAGAATAATAGCCTCTGCTCCCTGAGGACCCTCCGTACGTCTTCCTGATATCATCTTGGGTGATCTGCCCACCGGAAATGCACAGAAACATAATGACAATGATTCAACAGATACTTGTTAAAGATAAGTAGAGTGTTAAAATTACACAATTTGCTTAGTTTAGTAAGAGCACAAACTGATGACTAGCACTCATATAATCTGGTGACTTCTTCCGCCCGAGATTTAGGTGCTGTACAAGGACAAAACAGGTTCCTCAAGGGCTGAGGCTGACCTTGCTGACGTGTTGATCGTTGAAACTGTACCACTGGCCATCACTGAAGGATTTGATGCAGGCGTAGTAGTGGCCACCTGCAGCACTCCCAGAATGGACCATGACGGAGAAAAGCTCAAAGGTCAGCAAACTCTGAGAATAGACAGGGGGAAACTCTTATTGCTCAGATAAAAGCAACAACCAAGCTGTATTTAATTGGTGCACAACCTACAGGGTAACTGATGTCGACACTGGGGGCGTCTACTAATGACACTGCAGATGCAATGGCAAAATATAAGCATGAAAGACAGACATCTCATGTAACAAGAGTAGGGAAGTAAAGCATCTTATCATATTTCGAGTGGTCAAGATCAAGCGGGAAGCTTCCGGTCAGAAACCTGAGGCGAACATGGAAGGTCTTTAAACAGCCAGCAGGGGGTGACTCTTCTGGTTGCAAAAAGAAGTCCTGTTCCATTAGAAATAATGGTAAAATGTTGCTACTTTTCAGCTGATTTAAAATGAGTTTATGTTCTCAGTCGCTCGTTTCATGTCTTCTTCAATATAACATGATATTCATTTAGTAAATTATGGAAAAATAGAAAAGGATAACAGACCATAAAGCAGAGTATGCTTCAGGGCGGGATTATCTGTGATTGACAAGTCGTTACCATGGCGACCTGTCAATCAAGCTAGAGTGACTCGTACCCACGGCACCGTTGAAAAGGCTTATTAGGAGTTGGCTGTTCACTTCCTCTGGTGAGTACATTTAGTTTAAGCCTGTTTGCTAGACAAAATTGTCAGCCCTGTTAAAATGACAGTTAATGTGAATTACAGATGCACCTAGCTAAGCAAGCTAGCTAGCTCCACAAATGGCCGTTAGCTCCACCATCTCATCCAAATATTGTCACGTCCGGTGCCGCTGGTTGCAAAAACTAAACAAGGCGGCGCCCTATCGGTCAAACTCGAGGCTTCAAAACGGCAGTCCAGAAACCAACAGGTGATGTCACGATGACTACGTCCACTTCTTTTACACAAACTATGGTCAAGATTATTACCTTTGGCTTCAACACCCTCTCTGTGCTGCTGGTGCTGTCCAAGCAGATGCCCTCGTCCACACAATCATCGGTGGAAAAATCGTTGCTCATCTGATCACTGTGACAACTGCCTTCATTCTCTGCTCCACTGTCAGTGCAGCTCTCTGTCTGAGGAGACTTCTAGAGAGGAGACCATTTCAAAATCAATCACAGAGAGGGTTTAAAAAAGACAGAAGTCAACCAGAAGTTACATGACACAAATACCTTGAGTTGCTAAAAAACTGCAAGTAGTTTTTGTTCCTTGAGAAGATCAACAGAAAAAATCTAAAACAAAAGACACATCGGGTGCTGCCTTCATGGCCTAAAAGGTTTGTGGATTTGCCCTTGTGTTGTCTATATTAGTGAACAAAGAAGAAAAATCGTTCACTCACTAGTACTCTGGGGAACACAGTAGCGGAATTACCGTTTTAAACATCAACACCCGATGGATTATCTTAAGGTTACGATTGAAAATGATACTGCCTTCATCTGAGCATTATGATCAAAATGTTACATGATAGGGGTGGGGGACATGAAAGTAGAGTGTGTGACACATTTTCCTTTTTCCATTCATAGCCTATAGTCACATCAAGATATTAATGGTTAATAAGAAGACCTAATAATCTAATAAACCAGACATTGTGATGAAGTAGGTACTGCCAGCTGCTCTCACCTCATCTTCCACATCAATGAATGGACTCATGTCAAGCTCCTCTGGGAAAGTCATGCGGTCATTAAGCTTGATGCGATGCATAGTGGTGTAGTCAAAATCAAACCGCTTCAGCTGTAGTGTCAGCAGGTAGGGAAAGTGCAGAAATCTCAGCCCCTGTGTAGAGAAACATTTTTCGATGAATCAGGCAGGTCAACAGCAAAGCACTGCCTTGACATAACATTTGCAGTGTGCTCACCTTCCGGGCGTCACATTTCTTTTTGCAGCGCTCACAGAAGTACTGGTTGGGTCCATCCAGAGTTTCTGGTTGGATAAAAGCCTGCAAAGCCTCTTCCTGTGGAAGAGGACGATAGAATACTAAATGATAATAAACTGTATTAAAAAGTACAAGTTTTTATAATGTGTTGCTGTCAATGTGTTAAATGTTTAAATGAATGAAATGTGAAGAGAAACACACCACACTGCCATATGCCTGGCTGGCTCCGAAGGGTCTGATCACAAGAGGGATGTCCAGGTAAGTATCGATCCTCCAGCTCTCATAGCCACACTCCAGACAACGGACGTAATCCTTCAGCTTCCCCTGGTACAACTGGTTGATCAGGTCAGCCTGAGGATGTGGAGGCATGACAGTCAGGCCTCCTCAGCCATGTTAACTTGTAACAATATGGTGTTTGTTTTGGGCAACAAGATTTTCTTTCCCTGCTACATTATCTTATGCTACATTATCTTATTTAAGGAGCTACCACTGAACAATTCTTGTGGTGTGACAAAACCTGCCATCCAAAACGGTCAAAAACAGATGGTCAAAACGTTGCTATTCTTAGATTCTTACCACTAGTGCGGCAAAACATTCAAAGTTTGGTCTAATGAAAGGAAATGCCATGTTGTTACCAAAATCAAAAGGGATTATCCTTTGTACTGTGGCCATTTTAGGACATCTCAGACGCAGTTCACTAGGCTCAGCTCTATGATGTCAGATTTACTGTAGCTCAACTTTCATTGGTCCAAGTTGTATTCCGTCAGGCCCAGGTGTATGAACTACAGCTAACATGCTAAATTGCCTGCAGTTAGCATGTTGACATGTTGATTATGTTAACAAGGGGCTGTGTCAGACAACTTTCCAAACATTATGCCTACTTACACACAGCTTTTGACCAGGTAAAGCATTATTTAAACTTCCCTCTCGAGCTGTCTTTTTCCCCCAATCTTAACCCATCAGTCACTTTTCGTGTAGTGTAGTACACCATGACTGCCATGATCGAGAGAGTGTTCAACAATGTATGTCATTATCCCCATTTATACAATTCATCGCATCTAGCTTCTCAGTGTGCTAATCAGGCAGTGAAAACAGTTGTTTAATGTCAAATGTTTTCACAGCCTCAGGACCATCAGTAAACAAAATGCACGCATATCCAAATTCTACAGTGGAGCTTGAAAGAAAGCTAAATCTTCACATGTCATCTGGAGTTGAATAAAAACAGTGATTATTCATAGTTCTCCTATTACCAGTTTACTTTAAAATGCTACTTTCACTGTAGAAACAATATAATCCACTACAGTAGCATTCATTATTGTTTTTATTGTGGCTCCATCACATGTATTCATTTTGTTCTAACCAGGAGCTCATGTGTACAGACCGCATGGCTGCACATACGCACACTGGATTACGTGTTTGCAGTTTATAACTCACTCCTGAGATAAGAAACAGCTAACCCTGAGGCTTACTGGCCCATTTCACTTTTCTCACAGTAGGTCTTTTGTTTCCATTGTGGGGGGAGCCGTCAAGACTGGTGGCTGAATTTTTGTTGTTAAAAGTCTCGAAAAAAATCATGCTTTCTCCTACCTGCTCCGTCTGCTTCCACTTTTGCTCCAGGGCATCAAACATGACCCTGCACAGCTCCTGGACGTCATGCTGCTGCCAAGCTAAAAAAAAAAAAAAAAAAAAAAAAAAAAACGGACAAAAGGTGTAAGTGTACAGATGCAGAGGCACATGGTATCTCCTTTCACAAACACGCAGACAAGCCATGTGAGTCTAATCACAGGAGAGTACAAATGCTCACCCTCACTGCTGTCCCAGCCAAAGCTCCGCGTCACATCAGTGGTCTCAATTGCCCGTTTCTTGCTAGTCTGCAGCAGAACAAACAGCCTTTGCAGCTGGTAGGGGATACTGGTGACTGGCTCCTCCTCAGACTCCTCAAACTCCCAGCTGAAGTTGGACAGAAGGTATAAAAGAATTTTAAAAGTTTATTAACAAGTAAAACTTGACAAAAGACTTCTACGAACGCAGTTCTTACTTGTAAAGAGCATTCCTGAACTCCGGGGTCATGAACAGCGTCTGTAGAAGACTGTTCAAATAGCAGGTCATGGCTTGGTTGACTAGGCCCACATAACCTACAGCGGGGGCAAGGTTCAAGAAATAAGAGGTCAGTTGGGGTTATATAAAAAAAAAAAAGAGACGCATGTCATGCATTCAACAGGAGACAAAAGCTCACCCGTCTCAGATTTGTTAAGGATGGATGAGTAGGAGTAAGATGGACTGCTGTAGTCACCACTGCAGCCTGCAGTGCCGTCTCTTGGTAGTGGCCCAATAAACCGCTCCTGGGAACTGTCATCCAGTCCACTGCTATCTGCTGTTCCTGACTCATCCTGCGCACATAAACATAAATAGAGGAAGCTTTTAATAAAATACGTTTAGTTTCCAAAAGCAAAACCAATGTAGTCCCCTCACCGATGCCATCTGGGGCTGCTCTCCATCTTTGTCTGTAAGGTGGAGGAAATTCCTCTTACCACCAGGCTCAAACCCAGAATCTGAGAGGGACATCTCACTGCTGTGGTCCAGCGGTGCCTGGAGGGACGCAGAGTAATAACAAAAATCACGAAAGAAAACTACTATCCCTGCAAAAAACAGAAAAACAACAGCTGCAACAAATCCATCAAAACAAGTTTTCTACAGGCTACAAACTGGATGAACTCACGAGAAGACTTAGATTCCCACTGAACTCATTTCCAGCAAATACTCTGTATTGCCGCGTACGAGGAAAGTAGCTTGAAGCCAACATGTGAACAATGCTCCGTAGCAGGAGACTTTCTGTCTTTCTCCTGGACAAGCTGAGGACAAGCAAGCAAAGTGCTGCAGTGCAATAGCTTAATCCACTGACCTACTCAGTGAGATAACAACAGACACAGCACCTGGGCTTTGGCAGGATTAGCCTGTGCTCATTTAAGAAAAGGGAGTAGTATATACACAAACATAGACACAAAATCATAGTCAACAGTGAGTGAGCACATTAAGGACGCATTCATTCTATAGTTTTCTGTGCTAAATATGGGAGTGCTCTTTCTTAGCAACACTGTTCTTAAACACGTTTTCTTTGTAGCAGAGAACAATGGTAGGAAAGACAAACTTCTGAACATTGATAACGTGAAAAAAGAAAAACCAGCTGGCACTGTCTGAATTTCTAACATATCTCTGCCACCATCAGCTTTGCTGAGGTCATGATATGTGACACTGCCCTTCCAATGTGGTGAAGTGAAAGGGGCTATGTGTCCTAACATAAATTTCTTATAAATAGCGAACAAGTGAATAGCAACTGCAAACAGGGCTGGGAGCCATTATTACAAATGCATTTTTTGACCAACTGAGGACAATAGAAAAACCTAGAAACTCAACACTGGCATTTCAATTTCATTTCTTTTAAAACTGTTATTGCACACTTTAGCAAACAAATGCCTATATATCCATTTAGCATCCACTTAAGAGTTTTGTTTCTGGCCACCGGACAGATGACAAAGACGTCCACTGAACGCGATTCAAATCATTAGTTGAGAAGCCCCCCCGAGTCAACCAGCATTTTTTCAGTTGAATCAGCCAAGCAAGATTAAGACAACTACATTTGTTTGAACACATAAGTCAAACAGGAGGAAAAAAAGCTCCTACTGATTGCAAACCACATATTTTCAACACAATCAAGCTAAGAAACACCCTTTTGCATGTCATCCCTCCTCCCAACTTGTTATGTGCTACCTTAGCATCATCCTGAAATGCAGCTCTTACCTACACTTAAACTTTTGATTTGGCAGTGTATCACAAAACTTCAGCACATAACCCAGCTGAGAGCCATAATTATGCTAATGTTGTTTCCTGTTATGCTGTGTAGATTTATTTTGAAAACCATAATCACATGTTGGCAGAAACAAAAGTGGCTGTCTAGATTAATAAATTTCCTAACCATGTCTGGCGTATTTCCCCAGGCCAGGTCAAACGTGCCATTCACGTATCTCGCTTTATGGGCAACATCTTCATAAAGTTTGGAGAGGGTGGTGGAAGCAGGCAGGTTGAGGGTCAGCCTCTCATTGACTGTCTTTGCACTGGTGGTGTCCTGAATTATACACAGCACCCTGGGCTCCTCAGCTGCATTTTGGATCTGAAAATCAACAGGAAAAAACACGACTTTCATTCTGGATTTTGTGTTATAAAGCACCATGTACTGTGAAAATCTATGCTTTACAGTAAATGATTAGAACATTTGTAAGGCTGTGCAATGTCATGAGAAACATGGCAGTACACAGAAGAAAAATACCATCTCATATAATGCCTCAGTACTGACATGACTAACTTGTCACAAGTAAAGTAAAATTTTGACAAAATTACAGCTTGATATCGAACATATATTTGTGGTACCAACAGAAATGTGTAGAGAAAATATCAAAAACTAGAATAGAATGTCTGGCCAGCTTAATGTTCAATCATTATTTGATCAGCGTGTCTGATTTAAATGAAAATGTTGTCAATTATAAAAAAGTTCAGAAAAACGTTTCAAACGATACCAGGCCCCAATAAAGAGATTATTGTTAATTATTAAACTGTATGTATTCACTATCAATACAAAGGGGCAGGAGTTCTCTAGCAAATGTTCTCTCTTTTCGAAATGGTAGGAATCACAGCAAGCAGTTTTTATGGCCCTAACAGTTTGCACAGATTTCATAACTTTCAGCGTTGGCAGATTGCCGTGCTGTTCACTCTACACAACTTGCCGTCTTGTGACGGGAGTCTTGAAGTCATTGTGGCATTCACACAACGTGACTGATCGGCGACAAGGGGTCACACACTACACGAGCTGACACCGACTGCCACCCGGCGCAGGTCTCCCAACATTTTGTCAAGAAAACACGCAGGAAAAGTGGCGCAGGAAAAGTGGCGCAGGAAATGGCGCGAAACTACACACTAACAGCAGTTGTATATCATAATAAATATAGCAATTTAAAGACAACTAAGATGGGTGAAAGAATAGATTAGCACACACAGTCAGCAGGGATTGTCTGTCCTACAGAGAGAGCTGGAAGTGAGTAAAAAGAGGTTTGCAGTGAAAAAGTAGCTGCCTGTTCTGACAGCTGCCTGCTGTCATTGGCTGGATGTGCATTTCGATTCGGCCGACTCCTCAAGATATTTGCCATGCTAGATATCTGGCTGGAGTCAGCGATGCGTCAGGGAGCCGTTTTGATGAGTCATTGCGAAGTTCACACATAACGACCGGCAGCACCGATCGATTGCTGATTTGGCCCCAGTAACAGCCAGACTGTGAAATAGGCTTAAGACAGACAAATTATCAAAGTTACACAAATATCAGGTTTGTATTGTTGATATGTTAGTCATTTTCAAGGAACAGAGCACTCAGTGTTGCAGACAATATTTGCAGATGCAACATGCTTCTTTGTGTGTCAAAGACCAAGAATTGCCTTCTGATGTACAATGCATGATGTGTTCATTACATTGTATGTGTACTGACTCATCCTTAGTTTCAGATCTTTAACCCATTGAGCAAAATGTTTTTAAAAAGGTACTAAAAAATTTTTAGTTAAAGGAAGGTTTCTTAAAATTGAAAATTTCATGATGAAATGTGTTTTATATTGTTTTAAATTAGAAAAACGTAATAGAAAATGGACAGCAAATGAGTTCTTAAGAATGCCAAATTGATCATTTTTAATGGGACCTACAGAAGGACATGTAAAAAAAAAAGTGTATGACATGTTTCTCGCATCTCAATTACTGGAATTATGTAACCAAAATTGAAATTTAAAAATTTTTTCTTCCAGGTCTCGCTTCTGTGGCCGCACCACTGGACTACAGAAAAGCGCCCCTCTCCCCAAGCTATCAGACTTTTAAACTAAAATTCATCCTCAGCACTTCTCCACTGAATATGGTTTATTTCTGTTTACCATTTTATGATTACTTTTGATATTACTGTGTATTGTCTGGTACGTAGCAGAAGGGAGTTACACTCAATTTCAATTCATAACTTGTTGTGATGTGACAAATAAACCTTCTATGGTCTAAAGCACTGCTTTCTGGCAGTCAGGAAGAATTAAAGAGAACATTACCAGTTCTCTGACTTACTGACACACGAGCAACAAACCTTCCTACACATGACTGGGCAAGGCCCGTTGGTTATGATTATAGAAACAGAAAAACATGGACAGGTTGTCCCATTTCTCTCTGTCCAAAATATGTTGCTAAACAGGCCATGCAATTGCTGACACGTGCTTCATTTTACTGTATGATTCACAGCTTAAATTGAGGAGTCACTTCATCATTTGAACACTCCCCATAGTTTGTTTTCAGATTGGTCTGGTAGTTCCTGTAACTGTTCGAGCCTATAACAGGCTCAAATGATTTGCTGAACTGAAACTAAAAGCTAATGTCAAAAATGAAAGTAGCAAGAAAAACTAACTCAACAAGCGCTAATGCCTGTCAAATTATATATAAAGGTAATATACAACTGTAATAATTAAATCAATTGATAAGCTATTAAAAAGTAGAGCAGAGGGTTAAATGAAATTACATTAAATTCTGGTCTGATTCTTAACTGTGTGTACTTCCATTTGATCAGATACTCCCTGATTTAAGTAATAATTCTTACTACTATAGTATTGTATCAACATTAAATACAAAAGCTCTTGTTTGTGAAATGGTCTCCTACTGAAGATGTCCCGATAGTATGTCCAGTGTGATGGTAATCACGTTGCTGTGTCATGCATCTATTTAACACCATGCTTTAAAATGAGCACCGCACACACACATTCACACACGTATGGCAAGGCTACCTGAGAAATCCTCTTCATCTCATCAAAAATACTCTGTCTGCAACTCCAAAACACACCCTAATAATAAAACGGAGATAGTGAAGAACAATTTAAAACAACAAGAAAAACACCTACCACTGTTTGGCTAGCAAATCAACTTCTTGGCTGTTAATCACAGGAATATACTGAAGTGATTACAGTTTTTGCAATCGCTTTGTGATCTTGGCAAAATGTGACTGACAGATCCTATAAAGAAGCTTCAGCTGACAACACACAAGTGTATTATGAGATTAAAGGTTATTTTTACCGTGGATATAATCACAAGGTGCTGACATCACACCACAGGTACTGCAAAGCACAGCATTTCTTTACAGATGTAACTGATTCTAAATTGCACAAAAATAATGACAGGCTATAATGTTGTGAAATGTCAGTATCCATGAACCCCTATTAATAAGGGTTAGGGTTAGGGGGTTAGGGGGTTAGGGTTGGAGTCAAGTCAAGATGCACCTTAAAATCAAATATAGGTTGTTCTTGTTATGATAAAGCAAAAATATGAATATTACTTCAAAACCATTCTAATATCTACTTTTTTCAAAACAAATAAACTCCAAGTTCATTTTATTCTTTTTAAATCGTGTTGCTGGTCTCACAGCTGACTGTTGAAATGTCTTTAAAAGACAGCAAACTGAACACTGGGATGCACTATGAAAATTTAACAATCAGAAAAACTTGCATACCCCAATATGAAAGATTTAGATACATAAAATGATCCAACGCAGAGCTGGGAACTAAATGATCCTACCAACCATTCTCTATCTTAACTTTTATTTACCAGTAAAATGTGATTTAAGTGCTAAAAGTCTGGAAGTCTAAGAAATTCCTGTTTTGCTGCCAAATTGAAAATCAAATAATACAAGCCTATATCCTCCTCAAAAGCTCAAGTCATCCTTCTTGTTTAAAATAAAGGCTTGTCCAGTAGGGTTTTATTACATTGGTTAATAACCCATGAATAAGTTGTGTAGCTAATGGCTTCACTATTACTATGAAACATATTGAAAATTAACAAGTGTGCAGTGCTGCATCACCAAATCCAATTTTCCCACCAACCCCAATATCAACGAGTGACGTCCTATGCTTGATGTATGTCTGTAGCTGACGTCAATGCAGCCAAAGGGCTTTGAAAAAAACAATTAAATATAGGGTCTGCAAATAACATGTAGTAACCATATAGATATAAACTATTTAAGTACAAAATAACACATGAACATCACTGCCATGCCAATAATGCCCACTAAGACGTTTATGTTGAAATCACACTGTTAACCTGAGCAAACATGTCAACAACACAATTAACATCTGGTGACCATCAATAGGGTTGACAGATGCTAGAGCCGATTCAATTCCTACTTGTGTGGCAAATACGACAACATAGTCGTATTGTAGATTAATGGATTATTGTTTTAGGCAGCGTATTGCAGGTGAACCGCTTTAACCAAGACAAACATAGCACGACAAACAAGCAAAGGCGAAGTAACTTAACGATATCATCATGACAAACGAGTTCGTAAAGGATTTGTCAATATGAAGGGCAAATGTTTTTATTCTAACATTAGGGGCACCAAAATAACTAAGATTAACGCTAACGTTTTGTTAAATACACACCTGCATCTATCTGAGGTAAGTCAGATAGATCAATCCGCTAACATTAGCGTTAGCTAGCAAATTTGACTAGCTAACGCTAACGTTACAGTAAAGCTACAAGTTACAGTCAAAACAATCTGCAAACGCGGGCAAGAAGGAATCAAAGTACACTGCATATTTATAAAACTAGCATTATCGGTAAACGTTATTTAACACTGACAGTCATGTCCATTGATGTAGCCATCTGCATTTGGTTTAGCAACTTCATAAACATCTAGATTGACTAGAGTTGTTCCACTAACCAGACCTAAAAGGCTAACGACATTAGCCAACGTTAGCCAAATTACACTAGCTAATGTTACTTGCAAGTTAGCTAATAAATATTGACATATCGTCTTGTTTGGGGCATAACATAATGTCAACCACAACATTTGAAGAGCTCTGGTTTCTGTTGACCAGAGAGCCAAATTCAAAGGCAAAATAAGTTAATGATAATTATGCTAAAGCTTTCGCTAACCAACAGAAACTCACTTTGTCTGAGATGCAGCGAAACTAGCCGCTAACTGATTAGCTTGAACGTAAGTTAGCCAGCCATGTCATGATAGGCCATCCAAGTCATGTTTAGCTAACTGTTAGCAGCTGAGAGTTAGCCTGTAAATGATACACCAAGATCGCAAACTCCCAAAGTGGTGCCAAAGTTTTGCCATTATTAATGAGCATGGTCTACAAGGGTGACAGCTAATGCCCAGAAGGTGATTTTCCAACCAGGACTGGTCCGTGATAAGCTCACCTCTTTGGGTAGGAACTGGTTCTCTTCGCTAGGCACCATTTCCATTTGTGCGACAGTTTAGACAAGCGTCTATCCGGACAAGGGTGTCAGCGAAAAAACTTCGCAGCGGTAAACACAAACATGGTGTGTGTCCTGTTTGTTGTAAGTTTGGATGCTTGGAGAACAAAATTAAACTTGCCAAAAACTTGTAGGCGTTTCAAAGTGATCGCAACACTTTCGGTTACACTACCCAAGCACGAAGTGTCCTGCTATAAATGGAGAAAAATGGCCGGTGTTTTACTCCGCGAGACTTCACTCAGGGAGCTTTGGCGTCACATTCCATCCAGACAAGCGTGCGTGATGTGTGCGGACAGGATGACGTAGGTGCGTGTCTGCGCTTTAAAAGGACAGAGATGACAGAAACGCACAAAAAAACACGGCAGTAATGGTTTTAGCTTGTGCGACAGAGAGTGGTTCGGGGCTGTGGGTCAGTTTGGCAATCCATTCAAATTTAACAATGCACTGTTTTCAATCAGATCACAACAATATTGACAAATTAAACTGAGTACACAAAGTGCACAAACTCAAATTAATTTCTCTTTCTCTTTCTATTGAACTGATTCACTACTGTTTTACATGTTTGTAAACCAGGAGCAGTAGGTCACAATGAGTGGCTGTCGCTCAAGAGTAAGTGTAATGGCACGCTAAAGAAACTCGACTTTTACCCTAGACTGTTCAATTTAGGGTACAGGTTGATGCACTGCACAGTCATTTTTGTATAATATTGGACATTTTTAAACTGCTGCACACCTCATACTGCATGGTGCAGCATAAATTCAGATCAAACAGTCAGAAATGCATATTTCACCTCACAGCAAGGAGGGTCGAGGTTTGATAACATGATTCCATGTTCATGTGTTTGTTCAGGTTTATTTTTAGTGATCCGGGTTTCCTCCAACATTCCAAAGACAAGTTAGGCGGATTGACTCCGGATTCTAGATTGCCGATATAGTATAGTTTTCGTGTAAGAGTCTTATTTGAGTGTATGCGCTGCAGTGGATGTGGTGTGGTTTGGTTGAGAAGGGGCACTGCACCAAAATAGAGCACTACATGTATCCAGAGAGTGATTTGTTATAACAGAATAAGCAAACAAGCATTTCCTCATTGTTTGTTGTCACCTTACACATAGACTTGTATTCCAGCTGAAGTAGATAAGCATCTTCTCTAGTAGACATTCATTGGGCTGGGATTATGAGAAAGGGATACAGAGGTCATGGAGTGTACCAGAATGCATATTTATCCTCCATGTTATCATCATCAGTAAATTCATTTGCAGATAGTTCTGGCTGGAAAGGTGTGTTGGAGTATACAGATTCACTGTGTGCTGAAATGGGAATATGAACAGGCTTTTCATCTATTATAGGTACCAAAATATACCAGTAAGTCCCTCACAATTAATTTTCTATTGCAAAAAGAAACACTGATATGATGGTTCCATAAATCCATTTATGTACAGTGCAGTGAAAATTTATTTTCTTGCGATAATGTTTTAGTATGAAATGATTTATGTACAGTTTTACCCAAGAGGTAGTATTACAGAAAAAAAATATGTTTAGAAAATAGAGAGCAAATGGCTTCATCGTGCTGCTCAGGCCTCACAGTCAGCTTGTATAACTAAATGTTTTAACGTCACTTACCATTCAGAAGTATACATGCTGCCTTTTTAGTCAATTAGTCTAAAAACAGTGTGTGAGTGCAACATACAACAAAGGGTATCTTGCTTCTCTTACGCCCATGTACACTACTCCCAAAATTAAATTTCAAACTTTTTTCATTGGGCTCTATTCCTTCAGTGTCCAAGTGAGGCAACCAACAGAACAACCAACAGGCAAACACTTCCTTTCACTTCCATGCTACCGTTCACTACACCCACATCTGCTTAAATCAAGCTGTTCAGTGGTCAGCAGTAGAGTGGTAAACTGGGGAACTCCCTGGTGTTTATGTATGAAACTGTATTAATGTAAACTATGTTGATTTGACAAAATCAAATAGTTTGAGCTTTGGGACTTTGCATAAAGTGAACATGAAGTTGCCTGATAGCTCTTATAAAAGGGAAATCACATAATTTCACCTGAATATCTTTTGATTTCAGTTTCTACTGTGTGTATTAAAGCTAATTAATAACCTTCTACATTTATTTATCTCAACTGTATGTTTGTCTATATGTAGCACCTTATCTCCAAAACAAATTCCTCATAAGTGTAAAAAGTACTAGGCAATAAAGCTTTTCTGATTCTGATTCTGAATTACTAATTATAATGACAAAGTTGATAAAATACATTTCATAATACACAGTCAAAAACAAGCTGTGTTTCCATCATGAATTAGCCCAGATTTGAAAACACATTTTTGCACACTTTTAATCAATGACCCACACAAATGATCATGAAGTAGTCAGCAGCCACTCTGTTTCCTTTAGGGAATGACATATTCACAGATGTACTTTTTGAGGCTGCCACACACCTCATCGTACCACTTTCCTTGCGCGACCACTGAAAGGGCAACACAGCTCTCCCTCTTCGTTCCTGTGGGCTGCTTCTTGGAGCGGTCCCAGTTGAAGTAGCCGACAGGCAGGCTGTTGACGTCAACATACTGGCCTTCTTTAACTATGTCTGCCACGCCAATCCAGAATTCCTTTGATCCTGGGGCACTCCTCTTCGCATAGTCTCTCAGTATTGTTTTCCATCTTGTCCCGCGGCGTTGCAAGGGTTCCTCCTTGTGAAATACAGTCTTCATTTGCTTCGTGGTAATGTTTGGGTTCTCAATTGTAAGATAACACTTCCTGTGAGCTTTGATGCCACGGAGACAGACTGAAAACACAAAGCACTTACTTTATGAATGAATTGTAAAGTAACTATATGGTATTCAAATAGTTCAATACTATTGCAATGTTTAGTTTCCTCAGTAACAGGAAAATAATTATGATGGAATCCCTCTTTTTGTTTCTCCAACAGAATTTACAGCAATTCATACAGCCATATTCATTAACTTATATACAGAGAGATCACAGTCTGAATATTGACTAATAAATTAGCCAAGAAAAGGAAAAAGTAGGCATATTTTAAAAAAACAACAATAATAATAAATCAATAGATGTGTAGTATTTTGATATGATTGACTAAATCTTGTAAAAAAAATCATTATTTTTTAAAAATAAGATAAGCAATTTAGATATTTTAGCTTACACTTCTGCAGCAATTAAACCTTTAACTTTACAATTTAATGGATGATGGGTGCTGCTTCCCTCTGCTGGTGACTCAGGACACTAAGAAGTTAAAAATCTAGTTATGAAGTTACCAATTATCCACATTCTTGCACGACAGCTGGTGGCCTAAATTAACAAGTAACAGTGATATACAGTACCATAGCATGTTTATGAATACAACCTAAAATCACAATAATATTGTTATTCAACCATTGTCCCATGGTTTGTTTCTTATTTACTTATTTTCTTAAACTAACATACTGAAGACTGTAGCAATGCTTCTAAATCAAATCCATTGTCATCTCCTTTCTTTAACCTTCCTTTATTCAGTGAGGGCAGTACCTGTCTGCAACGCCTGCATCTCTTTCAGTGAATTCACCTCCTGCCACAACTTCTTAAGCTGAGATTTCACATAATCTTCCTCTGCAGCTGCATCTCGGCAAAGAAGCAGGAAACAAACAGGTCCAATGTACATCGATAGCAAACATGTTATTTATGAATTGCGTGCCATGTGCATAGTTACCTCCGGGCTGACGAGGTGACACGGCCTTCCTGGTGCGAGATGGACGGCCGGAGCTGAAGTGGAGCAAGGAGAAGCAAAGAACGAGGAAGACAGGGAGGGCCAGACGTGCCATGTCTGAGGCCAGTGGGTCCTACAGGACAGGACTGAGTGGCACACCTTGTACGGCCGTGGAAGGAACCAAAAACGCAGCTCAATATATACTGGCCCCTCTGTATGCCTTTCTGGGTACTCCCCCTGCATTGGCTCCAACTCTGTTTGTTTTTGTCCAAACATCAGGAGGAGGTGAGAGAGGTATGAGGGTGCAGTGGCAAATAATGACTTCCTTGTGTCTGGCTTTTGATAAATATTTACTTGGGACAAGGTGCACTAAGCAGTATTCCCTTCATTTCACAAACAAACTGGAAATTCATTGACTGCTTCACTATCACACAGTGTTCCCCTCCCAAGTTCCATATCGGTTTTGGACATGCTAACTTCTTGACAAATAATGTTAAAAAATAATAATGTTGCACCTTGGTGTCAACTCAGAAAAAGTGCCAACTTGTGTGTACTATCAAATAATAACACCTGGCCCAGCAGTGAAATATACAATATATGTACTCTAAGTGGTAGAAATCTACACTAATAAGGCTTTAATTTACAACTTTCAATACATAAAACAAGCAAAGGAGTAAATGTTCACAGTAAACTAATCTACACTGTTGAAATCTGTTCATTCACACAGTCTTCCAGCTGTATAATCTTAAAAAAAAAAGCTACTACCAGACCAGAGGAAGTCCAGCTCCCAGCTCTGGTTATTTTTAGAGTGAGATGTTGCATAAAGATAGGAGGGGGGAGCTAAATAAGAAAGAATATTGGGAATATGGGCTCAGTTCAGCAATCCAACTCTCAAAAGCAGTTCATGTACTCTTCCCCATTTTACAGTTTTTAAATTATACATTTTTGAGTATTATCTTTCATTTAAGGATGCACTAAGTAAATCATTCTCTAGAATAATGTAATCTAACAAAGAATGTTAATCAAAAACTGTGTGATAGTTTTATTGGTTTCAGTACATACACTCACTAGTATGCCAAAATGATATTCTGAATGTGTTATTTGTTTCAGCATGTTACAGAAACTGTCTCTGAAAAATAAATATACAAGAGTTTACGGTTACATCTAGTAGGTGTAAATGGATGTGAAATGGTACTCTATGTAATATCTATTTAGTTTAGCCTCATTGCACAATATTGAGTCAAAGTTCTATGTTTAGTTAGCATGCAAAAAAGCTGTATGAGCAAAGCTGTCTCAATGCAGTCTCTGCAGATATAAAACCCAAAACTAACCTCGGACACTGAGTTGAGGGTCAGTAGTTCTGGTTTAATGAATAATTAATGATGACGAACACATACATGGATCTTCAAATAAAACACAGTTTCCAGCAGTTCTGCCAACAGTGCGTGAATTGATTCTGACTATACTGAATATCTCTTGCATTAGAAAATCCCTTACTTTGTATCCATCTTGTGCCAAACTGAGGGATTAAGCAGAATGTGCAGTATGCAAGAATAGTATACTATATTCTAAATGTTGAAACATAATGTACACTGAATGTTCACTCTCATGAAGCTGAGATATACTGAAATATTTGCATACTATTAAAAAAACAGGGACAACTAGAACTAGAAAAAGAGGGACAACCTTTTTAAATGTAATATGGAAAATAACTTGACTTCAGGGAGGGTGTAAATCATGTGTGATAAATAAATTCAAACACTGAACTAAGACAAGAATACAATCATGGAATACTTTGCAGATATTTATTATTCAAGTAAACAGAGCTGTACTCAAAGAAAGTACACCACAGGTAACCCATAGTTTAAAAGGAATTTTGTGAACACACTACAATGCTAAACACTTCTTTGTTTTTCTTTTTTTGTACAATATGAAAACACACTGAAAAACATGCTCTCTCTAACACAACAAATGTGACATTAAAGGCATCTAAACTGACACTACACATCACTGTCCTTATTTTCAAGTCTACAAATCAAGCGGTTGAAGATGGATGGATGGAAATCAATCTCTAAATCGATTCACTTTAGTAAAGCCATTAACTCTGTCTCTCCACTGTTTATCATTCAGCTTCAAGGCATGCAGTGTTTACTCCTGTTAGTTTTGCTGTTGATACATTTTTTTCCTTCTTAAAATGGCATTATTATGAAACATTGACTTCTCTTATTGTTTTCAGGTGAGAAAACAGTTTTTGACGTATACTGTGGTTTCATTTTAATAATTCAATTAAGGTAATAAATAATTCAGATGGCTAGACGATATAAAACACAGTGAACAAGCAAGGCCGGAGAAATAGTGTGAAGGAAATACAACGCAGTTTGTTTTTACTTTGATAAATAAAATAAAACAGATCAGATTTGTTGTGGGTGAGTCAGTTGTTCTTCTCCTGCATTTCATCAACAACTCGCACATGTGGAGTTCAGCAGAGGGCGTCATACTTACATAAAATAATACACAGTGTTGCTCAAACCTAAATCACCCTGCCTTTATACAACTCATTGTAAAATAATTTATGTTGGCACTTTTGTTGTGAGGCACCAGCAAGTAAACAACTTTGGTCAGACAAGGCAAAGCAGAGACTCCTCAAACCTTGGACTGCAGGCTGACTGAACGCTTCATCGTCCTCCCTAAGAACAGATTTTTCTCATGTTCTCTTGTATTTACATATAAATTCTGTTTTACCCCAGTGTTTACAAAACGGTCCAATTTTTGCAACCTGACAATATATCTAACACTTAAGAAAAGTTCTGAATATACAGTTTAGAAGGAAAACATATCCTCAATCCAAACCTCACTACATAAAAAGTGCTCTGGTGGCACCGTAGATTCAACCTACTACAAATTGTATGATCAGGCAAAGAAGAATCTTGAATAGTCTACACATCTGTTTTCATATTCCAGTTAAAATACCTTTTTTCTTGGTTTGTCCAATGCGAACTTCACACGAGGAAAGCATTTCGAGTATCAAACACTCGTTTGTAGCTCAAAGGCACTGTTGATCCCATAATACTACACGGTTGGCACCTAAGAATAAAATATCACGCAAACACAGACTTGCCTACCTCTACTGGCTTACGCATTACTATTGTAACATGAGACTCCCTTCGTCAGAGGCATCAAAACGTTATGGGTCATTTTCTAAAACTTGTGTAAATCGTTTGCTCTCATTTTGCTGTCATCACTGAGGACAGACATGGTATGACACTTATGTGCTTTACTAAATCTGTTTTTACGGGTGCAAATCTTAAAGTGATAATAGCAAGTCAGCAGGTTTAAATGCTAATTTCACTTTGTGGCTGATTCAATAAACTGTTGGCATGCAATTGCCTGTAAAATGGACACAAACCTATTTACATCATTGGCTAGCATAACATCACTTCATAATACATTAAAGAATATATTAATACTATTCTAAGAATGGCACTTGCACTTGTTGTCTGGGTGATAAACATGTGAGTCTTCATTTACCCAAAAAAGTTACTTGACTAATCAACTGACAAACAATAGGTAACAGACAAGAGGCACAAACATATTCTGTACATAGATACATACATTCATGCATATAGCACATGATACATACATACATGTATAGGGGGTGGAAAATACCAATTTACATGTGTCCAGTATCTCAAACGCCTCACTAGCGCCTGACAAGACCTCTGCAATCTAACAAACCTTTGACATTACACCTACATTTTCTATTTTCCAATTTCCACTTACAATGCTTACACAGGCATCATATACATGTGGCGTAGGGGATGTGTGTTTCATTTAGGTGTAACTTTAACACATTACCATGATCGCCTGTGCCACACCTACGCTACACTTTATGGCGTAAGCACACACACAGACGCCACACCAACACTACACCTGACATGCCAAAATGAACTTAGTCACGTGTAGAAGCAGGTGCGGTGTTGAGTAAAGCCACAATGGTCAGGTGAAGTGCACTATCCAGCAACTTCTGACATTACACATTACACTTAGAACATTTTTTGTTACATGTAAAGACACGTGTGGCACTGTCACATCTAGTGTGGTGTATGAGTGCAAGATTGCTCCTAATCTTTAGAACACTTTACCTGTTGAAATAAAAAATGCCCCGACTCCTGACACTTTCAAATCCTTGCTAAAGACATATATTATTCGTCGGCCTTCAAACAGAGTTGAGTAGTTACATTTATTTTTTTATTTACTTTTTCTACTGTTGTTGTCATGTATATTTATTGTCTATTGTGGAAAGCACTTTGGTCAACTAGTGTTGTTTTTAAATGTGCTTTATAAATAAACTTGAACTTGACTGAGTGAAGCTGATGCTAGTAGGTGCAAAGCACTATGTCACCTCACCTGAGGCAACACCTTCAGGGTTGGGAGGATTACTTTAAAAATGCAGTCCAGTACAATTACTAATTACTTGTTTAAAAATGTAATCCAAGTACCACAAAATAAAGGTAATGTAATCTGAGTACTTTCAGTTACTTTTGGATTACTTCAATGCCAAATAGCCAAATGAAGACAAGAGAAGCTTGATACGTTGTCTGTTAGCGTACTTTTAGAGAAAACAAAATCTCCCGTTTCCAAAATCCATGTTTAAATGTTTTTATATGATATGCTTTGCACTATGTCACCACTATGGCAGTATCTGGGCCATCAATGACAAAAAACATTGTTTTGTAGGTATTCTTGATGATATTTAAGAGTGAATGTTGATGACTCATTCTGCACTTAATTTAGCGTCCAATGAAAAGATTTCTCACTATTATACTGCTGAAGCAGTGTTTCTAGGACTGGGCCCCACTGATTGCTTTACAGAAACACAACTTTTTTCACTGATTTTGGTGAAACTACATATTTGATGGAGAAATATTAGAAATATGGAGTAAATATTTTTTCTAGTTTTCTCTCTGACGTCCCCCGGCTGCCTCAACTCTTTGATTCACAGAGTTTCCAGATAGCTTTACTTGTTGCTGAACCGGAGCCGGTTTGTATCCTGATTACGTAACACTGTTACATGTAATCCGTTACTCCCCAGCCCTGAACACCTTACACTAATCCTAGGAAGAATCCAGAAAGAGAGACAGAAAATTAGGTATAATGTTCACTCTGCAAAC